GTTCATTGGAAAGGTGTGATATGAGTAATGTAAATCCCCGAGTCCCGAATTTGAATGTGTAAATAATACAAACCTTGTGAACAGATTCAAGCTCTTTAAGTGCAGTTTGTGTTTTTGGGACCTTGAGCGTTCCCGGAGTAAATATTTCTCGAAGCCTTACAATGCCATTCCTGGAATAACTATGTGCAAACTACCAATCAAAGCAAAGTTATTTTACAAGTTTCACCAGTCAAAACATAACTAATTGACTACAAGGAGGAATTTACCTGAGTAAGGCCCTGAGATGAAATGTCATCATCCATATCTACTGGACTAAGGATGAAAAATACTAATTAGTGCGGACATTATGAGGAAAAATACTAGTTTTTCGCTAGCTAACTAGAATTGTTCATTAAGAAAAGCGTCCTGCCATATTTGATCATAATATATGGGATTGTTAATTTGAAATAGTTTTGTAGAAGTATTGCCAGAGTCTTCATTGTTCTGGAACTATCATTATAAGAATAGGATATATTATCATTTACCAGAAAAAGGAATTTAATAAAAAAATTATTGCAATTTAAAGGCGAAAGCATTACTCTTTATAAGGGGATAGAAATGCTACCTTATACAGAAGATATATTTATCATTCAAATTAAGCGGCAGTTCATCAATAACAGCAGCGACTTTCTGTGGGCGTAACAATCATAATTAAAAGTTAAAACAAATGGTGAAAAAGAGTATCAAAAATGGAAAACCCAAGGAAGAAACATGAGAGGTTCTAAAAGCAGAAGTCTCCCTAACTGAAAGAAAGGAACCGAACGGGAAAAAGTTGGCATACCAACATTTCTTCACAATCAGCGATGAAATAGTTTGCAGATAACTTGGCATTCTCCAGAAAATGTTCCTGGGAGCAAAAATTGGAAATGGGAAATCAGGGAAGGAAAAAAAAAAAGAAAAAGAAAAAAGAAAAAAAGAAACCGAAAGTAATTAAGGTCGATAATCTGAAGTCGTTTCAAGTGGCATGAACCGTTATCTCCAGCATATGTTAAAAATAATGAGCGCTAATATACTGTACAAAATGTAGTGTAAGAAGCAAAAGTATCATCCATATTAAGTTCCGTATGTTCTTGCGCATTTTGTGGTCTTACAGGACTTCAGCCACGGAAATACCACACAATACTAAACAATTTCAGCAGCATTCCCCTGAGGATGCTCCTGTTTGATTCCATATAGCTTGGTGTAGATTAAAAAAAAAAAAAGGGAAGAAACTAAGCAATTGTGAAATCTGACATTGGGAATTCAGATCCAATGCCCCATAATTTCAAAATTCTAGCACTTCTTTGAGATTTGGATCCCTGTTTGGAGTATTTAAGATGTATTCCATAACATAAATTAGCAGTTTGAGCATAAGATGCAAATCGATAATGACAGACACCACCAACAACAGATCCAATGAATAAACAGTTAATTCCTATAGATTTCAAAGATGACACTAAATTCATAAATGTTGTTAAGAACAGGACATGAACTTAGCCACGGTTTTGGCCCCTATTTTTTGGAAATGAAAATGGATGGAATAGTGTTTTTATGAAAAATGAGTAGTTGAAAAAGAAGGAAAAGTTTTCGGTTTACATGTAATATTATTTTATGGAAGAATGTGTGGTTGAAAATAGGAAAGAGAAAAATGGAATGTAATTTAATGAGATTCAAACATGGGCTTATTATATGTTTCTGATGGTAGCATACAATCAATAGATGGCATGAGGTGGAGAATAGTCTCTCCTAAAATAACCAGTGTGCAAATAAACATCATGCTTGGCAAGTTTCCAGATAGAAGATTCAAATTGTTGCCCCGTCCAAAATATCCAATAAGAACACATGGACCATATTGAGAGCTGATGCATAACTGGTTAATTTTCCAGCCTTCATTGTGTGTGTGCTTAATAGGCTAAACCAATATCTAGATGAGTAGAACACCTGGATAAGTTCAGACAGAGAATTAAATTTGGCATCATGATGTCACCGAAATCTCTATCCAGAAACAAAAAATGGATCACGTATAAGTACCAATCCAGGATCCATGCATATGTAGATAACACCTGAAAATTTATTGACTCGCCTAACCTTAGTACAGTGGGGAGGGAGGGAGGGAGGGAGAGAAACCTACCAATATCTGGTGCATACCAAGCATTGGATGGAGACGAGAATACATGAACAAAAGGTCAAAGCTCGGAAAAAGTCCAGCTTGCTGCATCATAAACATGTCCTTTAGGTAAAATTATCAAGAGAGTGCATTCAAGTTAAGAGGGAAATGCACCAACCAGCAATGAACTAATTACCTCTATAATGGGAGATGGGGAACTCAATGATGAATTAAGTAGAGGTAGATCTTCCGCATCTAGACATGTCACTTCACCAACAGGGAATTTAGATCTATACCTGCCTGCTCTTCCTACAAGAAAATCCACCAGTCATAAATCATCAATTTCCATAAGCTTTGTAAAGTTTGTCATTCCCAGAGAGAGTTAACTAAATATAAATAAAACTAGAATATGTACAAGAGCAAGACCATTAAACAATGCAAAAAAACAAAAACATAAACAAACTAAGCCTTGTTCCCAATAAATTTGGAAAAAAAAAAAAAAGAAAAAGAAAAAGAAAAAGGTCAGCTACACTATTCCTTTTTCTTACCCAGTTAAGTTCATTGCTAGATCTAATCGAAGATCTAAAACGAAAAGAATCGCAAATTCACCAATATACAATAAATATACCAGCGAGAATCGAATTCCCCCACACTTACTTTCTAGTTATACTTGTCACTCTTAGACGTAACTAGTCCATGTCCTGTTGCGCCAAGCTTATTCTCTCTCAATTATCATTTTCTATTTTATTTGTTTAATATTTTTATGAGGGGCTGAAGGAGGGGAGTAAAAATATATTTTTCATTATCAGTTAGGTACCCATCTTTTGACACAGCGACACAACTTCAATCAGAATAGAAAAAAGTGAGGTAACATTTCTTTCTTCCTTTCTTCTTGCATTTTTGTACCTTGAGTACCAATACAATAATCTAGACATGCAAACAACATTAACCTTCAAATAATTTCCACCTAAGGATTGAGTGTATAAGATACAGAAGCTAAATAGTATGGATTCGGAAGGCAGCATAAGACTAATAGAACACGTCATGAAGAGAACATGACAAATTGATCGAATTCATATTCAATCAGACTCTAAATTTCTAATTATCCTCTCAAAGATGCATGGTGAAACAGAATCAAGAACATTGAGACATGTTCTACAAATGAAGCATTTTGTGTAACAAGAATCCTGAGAACAAGTTGATGACTCACCTGCAATTTGTTTGATCTCTGAGACATAAAGGTCCCGCATTTCCACACCATCAAATTTCTTCAAGGTTGAAAATATAATTCTAGATATGTTAAGGTTAAGACCCATCCCGATGGCATCACTAGCTACGAGAACATCTAACTCACTGTTTTCATCGTTGAACATTGTTGCCTGCAATCCTAAAGAATGTATTAATTCAGCTCATAGCTGTCAGATGCAGGAATCAAAATGGCTTACATTCTAAAGAACAACATCAATTAAAGTGAACTAAGAATCCAAAATAATAGTACATGTTAAAGGATAAACCATAAGGAGATTAAATTCGATTGCACATTGAGAGACTGTGGAGTACAAGGAAAGAGCGTAATAATGGAAAGAGGACCCTTGCAATCAGAAACTCAATAAGAAAATAACCTTTAAAGAAAAACAAAAATATCTCATCTAAAAGAACTTTTACATAGATGTAAAATAAGTTCTATTTCTGACCAGAGACAAATGAAGGTAAAGAGTAACAAAACCTGTCTCGTTCGAGTCTCTGGAGGTAGTGAACCATAAACAACAGAACAGAGATGCTTTCCTCCATTTTCAATTTGTTTCTGTCAAAATCAAAGAAACAAGAAGTTCAATCAGGATGAGTAGAAATGAAAGTGATGATGCATAGTGAGAAGAAAAATTAAAACTAACTGAATGTGAATGGATCTGATCATATAATCTCAAATTCAAAAATATTCACCATATATGAACTTTCAAATGTAGGTCAAGCAAGTCTCAATTGCAAACATTAACCAGGTTGGCCACATAATTTCTCAAAATAATCTGATGATTAGATTATGAGTGATATTTGATCATTTTTGTAGCTGCTTTCTTAGGCTGTGTTTAGTATCTTATTAAGGGCCTGTTCGAAGTAGATTTTTTGAGAATAGATTTCATGAGAAGTGATATTTTTGAAAAATGCGTAGTTAAAAAGTAGAAAGAAGTTATGAGTCCACGTGTATGAGCTCGGAGAAAAATGAGTTATAAAGAATCTGTACCAAACTGGGGCAAAAACAATAAATATGAGAATTAAGTGGCATAATTGTTAAGAATGAGCCCTCAAAGAAGACAATCCTATATATATGAACTGCAAACTACTATCACTAGGATCGGTTTTCTCTAGTAACTTTAGATCTCCAAGTAGAATACGGACCAACCCCAAACTTCCCACATAAATACCATTAAATAAATAACTCGAGACCTAGAAACCTTTGGTAAATCGTTGCAGACTTGTGGTCACATATCGAAGATTATTTTGCGACAGAAATGAGTGGAAGAATGGGAGTTTTAGAGCGCTGTAGATTTTTTCTCGGATTTATGCCTTCAAATTTTAAGGCCTACCGCTAAATGAAAGCCATGATTCCATGTTTATTGCATCTTGTATGTGTGTGTCATTTAAGTTATTTCTTTCCTTTCACATTTCATTGCGTATTTATTTATTTATCTTTTCCTTTTTCGAGAGTTGGGTATTGACGGGGACTGGGCACTGCACAATATATGTAATGATATCTCAATGGTCGATCTTCCTGACCTTTATCCTGTAAATCTCACGACGTGAAAAGGTGACAATGCAGTCTCCAGTTTTTATATTAGCAAATGATCCAAGAGGAATCTTCAATGGAACAAGGGGTGAAAGCCTCTCATAGTATTGAACCTGAAGGAAACAAGAAATCAACATCAAAGCAGAAGTGTTTAAATTAAAAAATTAACAGGAAGTTAAGCAGCTCAATAACAAAGCAGAAGTGTTTAAACTGAAAAATTAACAGGAAGTTAAAGAGCTCAATAAGACATGTATTCGTTTAAATTGTGAACAAAATGCCTTTTGCTTACCTCAAACTATTTATATCCTCCCATCCCAAAATCTCTTATGGAAAGGAGGAAAAAACCCCTCCCAAAAGTAAAGATCAGAAAGAAACACACCCTTTCTAATGTAACGCCCACAGTTAAAAAGAAAAGGTTTATGAAAGATAGCTACGTAACTATTCATTTATTGAAAATAGCAACATATGATTGACAATGATATTTTCACATATAACTATAGCATATTGTATATTGCTTATTAAACAACATTACTAGAAAGGTCGTATGTACCTTTTGCAGGAACAAAACTTTAAATGTCAAAATAATTACAAACTAATCTACAATCTCCACTTGTCACCTAGATGCATCATACTGCATCAAAATAACATCTACTGTCACAACATGGTCCAAATATAATACGTACACCAAATTTTTTGAAATGACATCTTAAGCAATACAAGTTAAAATTTAAAATGGCTGACAACTATGTAATCTCACTGCCTCTTGAGTGAAATCAAAAGAAAGCTAGAATTTAGATACCTTGACAATGTCGTCGGTCACTTTCAGAATTTCCTGAATTAGAGGAACTGCTGCTGCATCTCCACACAAATGCAATTCCTCAGCAGATATTCCTAAAAGAGCTCGTGTAAATGAAAAACCCCTTGACCTACACCCTAACATCTGTTGGGGAAAAAAAAAAAGATACAGAGATTAGAGGAAATAAATAACATGGATTCCACCAATGATGAAGCAGTTAAAAGTACAAATTTCCAAAAAGGTTAGCTGTATAAAATTATAAAAATGTCTCTAAAACTATGCACAAAACAAGACCATGATTTTGGTGCATCCAATTTTATTCCAATACCGTTCTCCTTCTTTATAATTCTTTTGAACTTCTTCCCAGAGAACAAAAGGCTTGGATATACAATAGAATTGATTTTAGACAAGGCACCTACATGAGAATTTGTCAACGGTCACAATAGGCGTACAACTTTTGGACGACCCACACCCCAGCCAAGGCAGGTTTTGAAAAATATTGTTTTCCACATAGTATGAACTAGCGTCATTTTGCAAAGCACTGTAGATCAGTACTCTACCACCTCAACTTTCATGCAACATATTGAACTAGCATCATTTTGCAAAGCACTGCAGATCAGTACTCTACCACCTCAACTTTTGCAGCTTATTTACCAGGACAAATGAAAAACAGTAATAATTGCCCACGACAAACTGATATTAAAGTGACTTTCTTGTCTTATACTAAATAATTATATATCATTGTTGCACCATTCCATGTTAATCTGCTTTAACTAAGCACATTAGAAAGTCAGTTTCAGAAAATCAGTAAAGAAGCATGGATGACCAAAACATTTTTCGAAGATTCAAAATTTCAAGTTATATAATTCTGCCCAAATAAGATGATAGAGCAAAACAAATGAGTACATACTCTATTACATATAAAATAATCAATTAGGACAAATTTTTTAGCTTCTGTGTCTTCATGGACCAGAAATTTAAGCAATGTATGGTAATTTTAGAAACTTTATCTGAGTTGAGTTAAGATGTTTCTATAATGGCAGCCAGAATCGCAGAAGGAGGAGGGATATGAGACAGATCAAATTGGACAAGAAAATAGAGTGGAACTATTGTCAATGATGTGGCTTAAAACCTTTTCTCTAACAATTGGGAAAAATGGCTTCTTCCTCACTTTTGTTTCATTTATACCAAATAACAAAAATTAATTGAAACATCAAAGGAAGATGGAGCCACATGTGCTATACATGGACCTGAATTTCGTCAACAACAGCACAAGCATAATCAGAATTCACATCAGCCATCTCTACAGTAACAGACTTATGTTTTGCACCATCAACTTCCTCCCTTTCTTGTCCGGTAATAAGATCACAAGGAACTTTAGCCTTATTCAAACGTTTTGCCACCTCCCATGCCAATAGTCTCAATGGCCCACAATAAATACCTGCAGCAAGTATTTCATGGTTTCTCAATTAAATATCAGGGTGTGCATCCAAAAGAAACAAAAAGAATGTTGAGGATAATAATATGGAAATATTTTCATATGCAACATACCAGAACAACTTGACTCCAGTTGCTTCAATGCATGATATGTTTTACCACTATTTGTTGGACCAACATGTAAGATAATATTTCGTCTTTTTCTTCGAGCCTTTGGATACCAAGTATGAGGGCGACTAAAATTTAAAGCAAAATAAGTACTGAATAATGTAAGAACGGACTGTGAAAACCATTAACAATAAATTTAAAGAACAAAAAACTTTATCTTGGTATCGCTAATCTTACGTAAGATCCGTAAAGTCAAATTTCATTGCTCTTGTGGAATCGCTGAGCTGCCTAAAGAATCGACACATGGTCAATGGAGTTCTAAACTTCGAGTCCCCAGAAAGGCAATAAAACTCCAAATTAACTGAACAGCAGAAAGGGTGAAAGATATATCATATATCAAACAACAGAATGGCTACAAAAGAAAGCTGTGCTCAGTGATACCTTTGTACTCTAACAAAACACCCAAAAGAACAAAAATTTTCCATTCAACACGCACTGACAACAAAGATATATTGACATCTATGTGACGGATGGGACAGGGGCCTATGTACTTACTATTCCCTGACTAGCTACCAAAAACTTCACACCTACAAAAACAATTCCATCTTATGAAAATCATATGATCCACCTGCAACTTATTGCAAACAAAAATCATCATTCCGATAAAGGAATTGGGCTAGCAAAATTACATCTCTACTTGAGTTAGGCATACTAGCAAGCAGCGAGACAACCTATTGAAATCCCGGTAGAACTGGATAATTATAGAGTTAACCGTTGAATTAGATCTTTAACTCAACCCCAATCTCATCCCATTAAAAGCATACAGTCAACAAGATCATGATCTTCCAAAAGCCAATACAACCCAAGAAAAAAAAACATGTATTCAGAGATGTCGAACGTGATGAGAAGTTTAGGGGACCTGAACCGACAATACAAATATTGTTGTTGCCAGATTTCTCAAGGATACATGAAACACGTTCCTAATCCCTAAGAAAATACATCATATAAATGAATGAGCATGACCTTTAAAGCCAGTTACGGAGCCAGATGACAGAAATCAAGGTCTCATACAGTTACACTTTATGTGCACCAAAATTCAAGAATTCAACAACACTGTCATGCCAAAAAATGCATAATGTCATGTAAGCATAGATTGGCCAGATTTCTCAAGGATACATGAAACACGTTCCTAATCCCTAAGAAAATACATCATATAAATGAATGAGCATGACCTTTAAAGACAGTTACGGAGCCAGATGACAGAAATCAAGGTCTCATACAGTTACACTTTATGTGCACCAAAATTCAAGAATTCAACAACACTGTGCTGCTATCAAAATTTCCTCCCGGTTTATGCTTAATCATACTTATTATCAGATATAAAATCAAATGCTAGCTGCTGTTATTCAACTGGAACTTACAATTTCTACAAAGGTCAACCACCACATCATTATTAATTTTTATTCCTACATCATAATATGTTATAATGACCTGCATTTGATCAGTAAAATACTATTGATACCAAATGTGAAATTACTTATCATTGTCAATTTAGCTTCGAGTATTTAATCAACAAGACAAACATGATATTAGTACATCTTTATATAAGAACTCGATAATAGGAATATGAATGTCTATTTTTCTACTAAGCTAAAAGCCTAAAAGTTTCCACAACTCAGAACAATTCATATGTCTAACAGTACATTCAACCTTAAAACATACAACTGTAATAGTATAGAATAAGATTCAGACAATTGGACAAAAGCACAAAAATAAATCCAAATAATGACTTCGATTGAAGCATCCTCAAACAGAAAGTGGAAAGAAACAATTTCAGGTTAATTAATAAGAAAAATAAAGCTAAGACCATGATAAAACCTGCATAGTCACTAGAATTCCACCTTGGACCTATAAATATTATGATTTCTAATTTACAAATTCCTCAATTTCGACTCATTTTCAACAGAATCTTACATAGAAGCATTCAAATTCCAGAAAACTGAGAGAGGTAAAAAAAATTGAAAATAAAACTTCGCATCTTAAAAAACCGTCGTAATAATGTATTCAGATATTTACTTTTTCCCAATTCCTTTTTATTATCAACCAAATTTTATTGCCAAGCATTTTAGTTAACAAGGGAAAAATGAAGAACGGAGTTTACCGAGACCACGAGGGGTGCTGAAGTGTGTTAGCTTTCGAAGAAAGATCAAAGACCCCATTTTTCCCCTCGTTTTTTTTTCTCAATTTCAGACAATTGAAGGTAAAATCAAGCGGAAATTGAAATCATACTAGAAAAGGGAAGCAAAAATGATTAAGAAGAGAGAAGTGAATATCGAACTGTTTTTATTAATGGATTTTGTGGAGCTGAGTAATTGACGTATCGGTGTTCATGGCGAGTTTTCCGACCGCCGTTTCCGGTTGTGCTCAAAACAAGTCTCGCATTTGCCTGTGGAATAGTCTTGGGTAAAAAGCACACCAGTCACTCAACTTTCAGTCAAATTTTATTTTAGTCATCCAACTTTTTTCCCCTTACTACTCATCACTGATATTTCTAATCAATTATAGTGCACATTTGTGCAAAGCTTACTGATCAAACATAAATTTTCGTGAAATTCACAATTTACTTTTCACTTATATTCCAAATTATAGCACTTAAATGCACTCTCAAACAAAGTGTTAGTACGATCATCGATAACAATTTTGTTATCAACAATTATTTAGTTTCATTAACGTTTATTTTATTTTTAGTACGATCATCGATAATAATTTGGAGATTATGGCTTTTCTCTACTAAAATCAGTACAAATTGATTATATAAATATTATAAGAATTTTTAGCTGTCTGATATTTGTGGAAAACAATAGTTTGATTTTTTTTAATCCAGGTTAGTCTTCTAATACGATTTACTATAGATAAATTAATCCTAATGAAAATGTCAGCTTTTATTTGAAAGAAATTATTTGGAACTTTTTCTTATGTTTATTTTCGATCACACATTTTTTAAAAAAATAAATTATTTTACTCCTTTTTTTATAATTTTATTCTACACATTCTTTAGAAAATTGTAATGAAGTACTAAGCCCTTGTTTGGTCCCATTTTATCTCAAATGCATTTTTCTCTCTTTCATTTTCAATTATACATTTTTAAATAAAATAATATTATAAGCAAATTCAAAAATTTTCATTATTTTTTAACCACACACTTTCCGTTAAATCACAATTCCAAAAATACATTGTTGATTAAAAAAAAAAATCTCGAACATGCTGTAAATTTTAAATTCAAATCAACCGTATAGAAATTGCAAGTACATTACTTGCCATCTCAGCCAAATTTACAAATTGTGAACAATTAATTAACCGTGCTAGATGAGCCTATGTGGCACTGTCCAGGAAAATTTGTTCATCAAAACTTGTTATAATCTTCAGTGAACTTATGGTCCGTTTGATTACAAAGATGAAATTGAATTGAAAACGAATTTCAAGGAATTGAATTGCCTAGAAAATATTTTTCTGAGAATTGTAAATTATTGTGTTTAATTGGTATAATTTTTCACATGAAAAATGTTGAAATAAAAATGTTTTTTTGATGTTCGTTTGACTTTGGTTTACATGAAAATTGTCAATTAAAGAGATAGAATTTACTGGTATTGGATATGAAATGTGTTTCCATAGCCAGCAAAAAAAAAAAAAAATAGAAAATCATCTATCTTTTGGTATTCGTTTGACTTTGTTTTATATGTAAATTGTCAATAAAAGAGAAATATTTTTTTTATAATAATTCTTAGAATTTATTTTCATTGCCAAAAAAAAAAAAAAATTTTAAAAATCGCTACAGTAACCAGGAATTCGAATTCTCACCATCCAATTCCATGATTTCATGGAAAATGCTGACGTGGCACGAAAGTTGGAATTTCAATTCTTGGGAAAATTTTGAACAATCAAACAACCAAAAGTTGGAAAATGGAATCCATGGAAAAAGTGGAGCAATCAAACATTGCCTTAATTGACTCTCAATCTCGTCTTTTTCTTTGTCAAATCCATGTTTTTACTTTAATAATTTTTTTAAAAAAGACATGGATGATATAAACTTTTATATATTGTATAAAATTAGTATGTTAAAACTAAGAGACCAAAATTAATTTATAATCTCTAAATGCGTACACACGAAAAATATAAATTAGGAATACACTTTCATATTTATTTTGTTCAAAAAAATGTGGTACAAAATATCCTTTATTGATCAAATTTAAAGTTTAAACTGCTTTTTCTTTTAATAATTACTCAAAACCTTTTATGATTATCATTTTTTTAAACATAGATTCAGTGCACTTGACGAGCTTTCTTTCTTGAATAGAAGTCAGCAACCCATACATTCTCATTCTTAATATTAAGGATGTCCCATTCATACCATCGACAAATCCAAGCAACTTGAGCAACTCTCCGTTCGGAGAAACAATCGAAAGGACAAGTTAGCTTGACGACGTCTTGATCAAAGAAAAGGAAAGTCTCCACCACGAGAATCACGTACAATTCATTTGGAAAAGGTGTGGCAAGTCAACCCAAGGGGTCGTTATAACATGTCCCATATTCATTAATTCATCATTCGTAATTGCTTAATTACAAGAGATTATACTTGTAATTGATAGCCACGATACTTAGCAGTAATTTTGGTTCTATAAGATGAGAGACATCTCACATTGAGCGGTATCAATTTTTATTGAGTATAGTTGACAACCACCCTTGAGTCTGAAGTGTAATGAAACTAAGCAGATTGGTGTTTTTCCGGTATTTATTTGAGAATTTTTTAATATGGTTTTATGGTATTGGGAAGGTCACCAGAAGCTGATTACCCTTTCGATGATCAAGAAGTACACACCATAAAGTTTGCACTCTAAACCAAATAATATCACACACGAGAATTGCCATTACAATGGAAAACAATGTCATTCAAATGATCTGGTTGAATGACATAAAAAGTTTAGCCTTCACTCACCATCCAGGAGAGTATAACAGACACAGACACACATTTAATGTTTATAGTTAAAGGAAATATTTTCCTCACAAAACTAGTGCTTTTACGGGGTATTAGCTAATTTATAGTCGTATTTTGAGAAGAGGACAACTTCTCTTTCTCCAGCGGGGTATTAGCTAATTTATAGTTGTATTTTGAGAAGAGGACAACTTCTCTTTCTCCAGCAACTTGATCAATGGGAATTGCATCAGCTATTTCTTTCAAGTCATCAGGTGTCAGCTTGACAGCTAGAGAATTAATGTTGTCAATAAGGTTCTTAATCTTTGTTGTTCCTGTATATCATTCAATTTAAGATCAAAACCTTTCAGAGTAAATAATATTTCATCAGTCAAGATTTAAGAAAGCATTGTCAATGTTAGTGTGCGACTTTTGCATGCTTACCAGGTATTGGAACCACATCATCTCCCCGATGGAGAAGCCATGCCAGAGCAAGTTGAGGAGGAGTGCAAGAATGCTTGGCTGCTAAATTGGCAAAACGAGCATAAAGTACTTTGTTCTTCTCTAGATTCTCTCCAACAAACCTTGGGTGCTTATCCTAGAAGAAAAAAATAATTAATTTAAATTTTTTCTTATTTATATAGCTCAATACTGTCTAATCCATCTTTTCAAATATGCCATCAAGGAAGACTAAAGATGAAAAGAAATTATGCAAATATTACCAGAAGACTCTGTGAAGGCAAGCTCTCCACAATTGCCTTCCCAACAAAGAACCCATGACCAAGTGGGCTATAAGCTACTATTCCAATACCAAGTTCCCTGAATCAAAGAGCCGGGAAAATTTATTCCTCTCGTAACATTGATGCAAACTTTTTATTTTGGTATTTATCTTCTTAGTATTTCTCATCTAGGCCAAAGTCCAACACCATAAAGATGAATATCTAATGATTTTTTTTTTTAAAATATAATATTGGAAGAAAGAAACAAAATTACAAATTTTCAACTTACCTACAAAGTGGGATTACATCCTCTTCTATTTCACGAGTCCATAGAGAATACTCCATTTCTACAGCAGTTATTGGATGAACTGCATGTGCCCTCCTGATTGTATCCACACTAGCTTCGGACAACCCAATGTATCTAATCTTTCCCTCTTCCACTAGCTTCTTTAGCTCCCACATCTTTTCTCCAGAATCAACTCAAAGGAGAAAGACACGAAAGGAAAGAAAAGAATACAAATTTTAGGGGCAGTATAGTGAAAATGCAGAAATATCATATAGTAACATAAATAGAATGAATTTTCTTCTAATACTAACCGTTTCCTCTATTGGCACAGATATGTCTATCCGGTGCGGATAATACAGATCAATGTAATCCACATTCAGCCGCTTAAGACTGGCTTCGATGCATTGCCGCACATACTTAAGAGTTCCTTTGACCTCTACTTGAGTGAAATCCATCTTATAAATGCCAAATTTACTTGCTAGTTGAACTTGTTCACGAGGCAACTCTTTTAATGCCTAATAAATCATAGTAAACAACCAAATTATTTCTCTTATAGACGACGAATTTTCTGAAAATAAGTATAGGGTATTCAATGGCATGTTCTAATTTTCAAGTGACAGAATTACCTTGCCAATCATTATCTCATTGTCGCCCTCCTGTCCATAGCGATCAGCAGTGTCAAAGAAGGTGATACCCATATTGAATGCTTCTTTTAAAATCGCACATCCAGCTTCATGCGAGAGTGGAGCATTTAGTATGCCAGAAAGTCCCCCACAACCAAAACCCAGTTTAGAAACCTGAACGCAAAAGACCTCTCAGTCATGATCCCACTCTTATTAATATAATTGAGTATCTAATCAGTGTATATTTTATAAACGTTATGCTCATTTTGCTGGGCTTAATCTGCATGAACATAACATTAAGATAGCAATGTAATAGAAGAACCATGGATCGAATGGGACAGGACAACCAGTGACAGAAGCCCTTCAGGTTCTCGATGATAAAAAAGAAAAGATGATTATTTAGTAATTTCCCATTTTGCTTAATGCCAATCCTTACCAGAAGGGAAATTGGTACCGTGAAGGTAGCACAAATTTAGGATCTTTATTGGAGGCAAACAAGGATAAGCTGACTTCAAGATCTAAATTTGCAGATAAGAATTATATGGCAGCAAGTTAACGTTAAAGTTAAATGAATTGTACCCCACATGCTTGCCCACAGGAATTATGGTAATTATAGTCTAATTATTCAAGGATCAAGAAAAGAAATGCTAAAACTTCACTTCACGTTACAGCGAAAAGGTTCATTTGTATCTTTAAAATTCAAGTACTTACCCTCGCTATGTTTAAAGACGTTGGAACTGGAACATACAAAGGATCAATTCACATTCAAATGGTACTTCTCCAATCTAAGTCTCAAGTTTCATGCCACCAAAGACAGCCTTAGTATCTCTAATAAATCATCATCGACGCTATTTTGTTGTTTCATCTACCGACAAGGCTACCCAACAATTACAATAAAGCAAACTACAGCGTGCAGCATTCAAAGTCAACTAAAATATAAAATTTTCTGAATTATCATTTATAAACATATATTTTCCGACCAAACCGTATACAGTCTACTGCAGGTCAATCTTTTTACACAACACTGCAAGCAAGTAAAAGAAGATACAGAAAACAGAGACTGATCAACCACAGACACGGGGAACCAATGTTTAACGATTGCCTATCAAGATAATTTTTTAACTTCCCAGTCTTTGATCAGATGCATATCCATATTAGGATGAGCTTCAAAATAAGCAAAAATAACATTTTTTTGTTTCCCAATATTTTTAGATAAGTTAATCTCTTTTCCCCCTTAAATTTCACTATAACTAATATTTTCAATTTGGATCAACGAAGAAATATATTTTTATAAGTAAGATTGAAACCTCCAGGCCTTGGGTACCCAATTTCAGTCTTGGCACCAGCATCCGAGGCTTCTGCTCCATTATGCCCTGTACAGGGAAATCCACCTGAAAAATTCAAAGAAGATGAGAGCTTAAGTGAGTTACTGGCAAATTATGCATTTAACTTCAAAAGACTAGGGTTTATAAAAATTAATGAGAAGCGGAGCAGTAAAAATGTGTCAATTGATTAGTGAAGTGTTGCTTTCCGTTTCTAAGTTGATAGAGACCTCAGCCAATTAACATTGTGTAATGTCCCAAAATTTCATATATTAGAATTTAATTTATGTGCGCTATATTTTAATATTTTGGAAGTTTAGGGACTAAATATATATAAAGTAAATTTCAATATTTATTGGATGTTAAAATGTAGATGTTGACGGAGCGACAATAAGAATATCAATATTGTACTCGTTGGATAGGTCGTAATTAATCATGCATGTTAGGCTCGAAAAAAAGTTAATTTGAATTAGCGGAGCCTAAGTTATCGAGGTTGAAAGATATAGCCTTAAATTATTATTATTGTTGTTATTACTCCTATTATTATTATTATTTTATCAGCCTTGCTACATGTACACCAAGCCTTACAGCTCGGTGTACAGTCCCCTCACATCGAGGGGCTGCCAATTAAAAAAAAGGGCGTGGGCCCCCTCTACAGTGAGGGGGCTGTAAGTATACAACACCTTTTAGTGATGTACAAGTAGGTTAATTGTTATTTTATTGAGTATGTATTGAATTGGTTAGTTTCACACGTAAGATTCTTGGTAGGTGGTAAGTTGATGATTGATTTGTTTATTAAATAAAATAAAATAAAATAAACAGAAAAGAAAAGAAAGAGAGATAGAGAAAGGTATGGGGAGCCACAATAACGTGAGTGCTCACAATCACGTGAGTGGTTGTTGAGAAACAAAATTTTATTATTATTTAATTAGAATTTTGAATTAAATGGTTGTCACCACGTGTACGGTAATGGTTTGCTTTTGAGTGATTGGTTAGTTGACAAGTACGTGATCCTATATTGATAAGGCTTAGTCTCCTATTTTGTTTCAAAAACAGTTTTCTCAACTTTATCTAAATACCCACTCCCACACGTTTTTTTATGAATATGACTACATGTGTATGGAATGAACCGCACGAGAATCGAGACACAAAAATATATTGGTGCACGCACACATTGTTAATAGAGGCAGAAAAAGAAAGGAGAAACGAACGTGATTTTTCTTTTGTCTTCATATTAAAGCAGTTCAACAAGGTAGGATATAGAGGTGCAGTGTATTTTTTTAAAATCCCCATTTAAATTTGTTTTCATGCTGATGAACTTTATACTCATGAAATTTAAAGTTATGATATGATATGAATGATATGGTCATTCCGGAACAACAATATGATATGAGCTTACCGAATTTTAAAGATATGAGACGGTATGATTTTCTGATACATGTTTTAAAATTATCATACGGGATCGCATCATTAATTTTATATCATACTGAGTATTTTTATGTACTCACCATTTTCCCTACTCCTCACAGATTAGAATGAGTCGTTGGTTGGCGGGCGATGCAGTGGAGTTGTGATGCCAGAAATTATGGAATTCAAAATAAATTAATTCTGAGTAACATGACTAGGAAATTTTATTTATTTATTTTCTTGCGTTATTTCAGTTTTATTTTCATGTTAAATTTGAAATTTAATATTTGGAACATGGTTCAGTTAATTATGTTTTCCATAGACTTTAGTTATTGTATAGATGGAACTAGAAAGATTTTCATGTAGAATGTTTGACATAATTTATTTAATTATGAAATAAAGGTTTTAGTAACAATTTTAAATCTTTAAATTTTGGGTCGTTACAGTGTGGTATCAGAGCATAGGTTTAATTTCCTGTAGACCCACGTGTATTCTCATAATCTTTTTTTTTTTTAAATAAATAAAAAAATTTTGGGACGTGAACAGTGACGTAATTGGAAATTGTACTGAAAATAAAAACAAATTTGTTTGGCATCCTACAGAAAGTATGAGTTCCATTTGTACAAATAAAATGCTTTTAAGGAATCAGGGACGTTATTGTTGGAAAATGCTGGATCATTTTATGCACAGGATACCCTTCTGCCATACTGCATGTTAAATTACGTTTCAGTTCATTGGAAAGGTGTGATATAGGGATGTAAACGAGCCGCCTCGCGAGCCTAAAGTTTCGGCTCGGGCTCGGCCCGGTTAAAATGACCGAGCTTTTTTGCGGGCTCGAGCCAGGCCGAGCTTTTAAAAAAGGCTCGACCCGAGCTTCTGCTCGGGCTTTTTACGGGCCGAGCCGGGCAGGCTCGTTTTCTCCCCAATTTTTTTTCCTCCTGCTGCCTTTAAAAGGCAGCAATTTTGCCTTAAATTTAAATTTTTTTTTTTTATTAAAAGGCTCGCGAGCTCACGGGCCGGCTCGGGCAAAGCCCGTGTCCCCAAAATGGGGCTCGGCCCGAGCTTAGGCTCAGGTCTACCGAGCCCCGAGCCGAGCCACGAGCGGCCCGAGCCGACGAGCCCGATTGCCATCCCTCATGTGATATGAGTAATGTAAATCCCCGAGTCCCGAATTTGAATGTGTAAATAATACAAACCTTGTGAACAGATTCAAGCTCTTTAAGTGCAGTTTGTGTTTTTGGGACCTTGAGCGTTCTCGGAGTAAATATTTCTCGAAGCCTTACAATGCCATTCTTGGAATAACTATGTGCAAACTACCAATTAAAGCAAAGTTATTTTACAAGTTTCACCAGTCAAAACATAACTAATTGGCTACAAGTAGGAATTTACCTGAGTCAGGCCCTGAGATGAAATGTCATCATCCATATCTACTGGACTGAGGATGAAAAATACTAATTAGTGCAGACATTATGAGGAAAAATACTAGTTTTTCGCTAGCTAACTAGAATTGTTCATTAAGAAAAGCGTCCTGCCATATTTGATCATAATATATGGGATTGTTAATTTGAAACAGTTTTGTAGAAGTGTTGCCAGAGTCTTCATTGTTCTGGAACCATCATTATAAGAACAGGATATATTATCATTTACCAGAAAAAGGAATTTAATAAAAAAATTATTGCAATTGAAGGCGAAAGCTTTATTCTTTATAAGGGGACAGAAATGCTACCTTATTACGAAGAGATGTTTATCATTCAAATTAAGTGGCAGTTCATCAATGGGCATAACGATCATAATTAAAAGTTAAAACAAATGGTGAAAAAGAGTATCAAAAATGGAAAACCAAAGGAGGAACCATGAGAGGTTCTAAAAGCAGAAGTCTCCCTAATTGAAAGAAAGGAACCGAACAGGAAAAAGTTGGCATACCAACATTTCTTCACAATCAGTGATGAAATAGTTTGCAGATAACTTGGCATTCTCCAGAAAATGTTCCTGGGAGCAAAAATTGGAAATGGGCGATCAGGAAGGGGGAAACAAAGAAAAGAAAAGAAACCGAAAGTAATTAAGGTCGATAATCTGAAGTCGTTTCAAGTGGCATGAACCGTTATCTCCAGCACATGTTAAAAATAATGACCGCTAATATACTGTACAAAATTGTAGTGTAAGAAGCAAAAGTATCATCTATATTAAGTTCCTTATGTTCTTGCGCATCTTGTGGTCTTACAGGACTTCAGCTAAGGAAATACCGCACAATACTAAACAATTTCAGCAGCATTCCCCTGAGGATGCTCCTGTTTGATTCCATATAGCTTGGTGTAGATTTTTTTAAAAAATAAATAAATAAATAAATAAAATAAAATTAAAAAAGAAAAGAAAAGAAAAGAAAAAAGGAAGAAACTAAGCAATTGTGAAATCTGAAATTGGGAATTCAGATCCAATGCCCCATAATTTCAAAATTCTAGTACTTCTTTGAGATTTGGAACCCTGTTTGGAGTATTTAAGATATATTCCATAAGATAGACACCACAAACAACAGATCCAATGAATAAACAGTTAATTCCTATAGATTTCAAAGATGACACTAAATTCATAAATGTTGTTAAGAACAGGACATGAACTTAGCCCTGGTTTTGGCCCCTATTTTTTGGAAATGAAAATGGATGGAATAGTGTTTTTATGAAAAATGTGTGGTTGAAAAAGAAGGAAAAGTTTTCAATTTACATGTAATATTATTTTATGGAAGAATGTGTGATTGAAAATAGGAAAGAGAAAAATGGAATGTAATTTAATGAGATTCAAACATGGGCTTATTATATGTTCCTGATGGTAGCATACAAGCAATAGATGGCATGATGTGGAGAATAGTCTCTCCTAAAATAACCAGTGTGCAAATAAACATCATGCTTGGCAAGTTTCCAGATAGAAGATACAAATTGTTTCCCCGTCCAAAATATCCAATAAGAACACATTGACCATATTGAGAGCTGGTGCATAACTGGTTAATTTCCAGCCTTCATTGTGAGTGTACTTAATAGGCTAAACCAATAACTAGATGAGTAGAACACCTGGATAAGTTCAGACAGAGAATTAAATTTGGCATCATGATGTCACCGAAATCTCTATCCAGAAACAAAAAATAGATCACGTATAAGTACCAATCCAGGATACATGCATATGTAGATAACACTTGAAAATTTATTGACTCGCCTAACCTCAGTACAGTGGGGAGGGAGGGAGGAGGAGAGAGAGAGAGAGAGAAACCTACCAATATCTGTTGCATACCAAGCATAGGATGGAGACGAGAATACATGAACAAAAGGTCAAAACTCGGAAAAAGTCCAGCTTGCTGCATCATAAACATGTCCTTCTTTAGGTAAAATTATCAAGAGAGTGCATTCAAGTTAAGAGAGACGCACCAACCAGCAATGAACTAATTACCTCTATAATGGGAGATGAGGAACTCAATGATGAATTAAGTAGAGGTAGATCTTCCGCATCTAGACACGTCACTTCACCAACAGGGAATTTAGATCTATACCTGCCTGCTCTTCCTACAAGAAAATCCACCAGTCATAAATCATCAATTTCCATAAGCTTTGTAAAGCTTGTCATTCCCAGAGAGAGTTAACTAAATATAAATAAAACTAGATATTGTACTAGTCTAAGACCATTAAACAATGCAACAAACAAAAACATAAACAAACAAAGCCTTGTTCCTGATAAATTTGAAAAAAAAAAAAGGGAAGAAGTCAGCTACACTATTCCTTTTTCTTACCCAATTAAGTTCATTGCTAGATCTAATCAAAGATCTAAAACGACAAGAATCGCAAATTCACTAATATACAATAAATATACCAGCGAGAATCGAATTCCCCCACACTTACTTTCTCCTTATACTTGTCACTCTTAGAGGTAACTAGTCCATGTCCTGTTGCGCCAACCTTATTCTCTCTCAATTATCATTTTCTATTTTATTTGTTTAATATTTTTATGAGGGCTGAAGTAGGGGAGTAAAAATGTATTTTTCATTATCAGTATAGGTACCCCTCTTTTGACACAGCGACACAACTACAATCAGAAGAGAAAAAAGTGAGGTAACATTTCTTTCTTCCTTTCTTCTTGCATTTTTGTACCTTGAGTACCACTACAATAATCTAGACATGAAAACAACATTAACCTTCAAATAATTTCCACCTAAGGATTGAGTATTTAAGATACAGAAGCTAAATAGTATGGATTCGGAAGGTAGCATAAGACTAATAGAACACGTCATGAAGAGAACAAGACAAATTGATTGAATTCATATTCAATCAGACTCTAAATTTCTAATTATCCTCTCAAAGATGCATGGTGAAACAGAATCAAGAACATTGAGATATGTTCTACAAATGAAGCATTTTGTGTAACAAGAATCCCGAGAACAAGTTGATGACTTACCTGCAATTTGTTTGATCTCCGAGACAGAAAGGTCCCGCATTTCCACACCATCAAATTTCTTCAAGGTTGAAAATATAATTCTAGATATGTCAAGGTTAAGACCCATCCCGATGGCATCACTAGCTACGAGAACATCTAACTCGCTGTTTTCATCATTGAACATTGTCGCCTGCAATCCTAAAGAATGTATTAATTCAGCTCATAGCAGGAATCAAAATGGCTTACATTCTAAAGAACAACATCAATTAAAGTGAACTAAGAATCCAAAATAATAGTACATGTTAAAGGATAAACCATAAGGAGATTAAATTCGATTGCACATTGAGAGACTGTGGAGTACAAGGAAAGAGCGTAATAATGGAAAGAGGACCCTTGCAATCAGAAACTCAATAAGAAAATAACCTTTAAAGAAAAACAAAAATATCTCATCTAAAAGAACTTTTACATCGATGTAAAATAAGTTCTATCTCTGACCAGAGAAAAATGAAGGTAAAGAGTACAAAACCTGTCTCGTTCAAGTCTCTGGAGGTAGTGAACCATAAACAACAGAACAGAGATGCTTTCCTCCATTTTCAATTTGTTTCTGTCAAAATCAAAAAAACAAGAGGTTCAATCAGGATGAGTAGAAATGAAAGTGATGATGCATAGTGAGAAGAAAAATTAAAATTAACTGAATGTGAATGGATCTGATCATATAATCTCAAATTCAAAAATATTCACCATATATGAACTTTCAAATGTAGGTCAAGCAAGTCTCAATTGCAACCATTAACCAGGTTGGCCACATAATTTCAAAAATTAACAGGAAGTTAAGCAGCTCAATAACAAAGCAGAAGTGTTTAAACTGAAAAATTAACAGGAAGTTAACAATAAGACGTATTCGTTTAAATTGTGATCAAAATGCCTTTTGCTTTCCTCAAACTATTTATATCCTCCCATCCCAAAATCTCTTATAGAAAGGAGGAAAAAACCCCTCCCAAAAGTAAAGATCAGAAAGAAACACACCCTTTCTAATGTAACGCCCACAGTTAAAAAGAAAGGATTTATGAAAGATAGCTATGTAACTATTCATATATTGAAAATAGCAACATAAAATGACATTTTCACATATATGATATAACTATAGCATATTGTATATTGCTTATTAAACAACATTACTAGAAAGGTCGTATGTATCTTTTGCAGGAACACAACTTTAAATGTCAAAATAATTACAAACTAATCTACAATCTCCACTTGTCACCTAGATGCATCATACTGCATCAAAATAACATCTACTGTCACAACATGGTCCAAATATAATACGTGCACTAATTTTTTTGAAATGACATCTTAAGCAATACTAGTTAAAATTTAAAAAGGCTGACAACTATGTAATGTCACCACCTCTGGAGTGGAATCAAAAGAAAGCTAAAATTTAGAAACCTTGACAATGTCGTCGGTCACTTTCAGAATTTCCTGAATTAGAGGAACTGCTGCTGCATCTCCACACAAATGCAATTCCTCAGCAGATATTCCTAATAAAGCTCGTGTAAATGAAAAACCCCTTGACCTACACCCTAACATCTGTTGGGGGAAAAAAAAGATACAGAGATTAGAGGAAGTAAATAACATGTATTCCACCAATGATGAAGCAGTTAAAAGTACAAATTTCCAAAAAGGTTAGCAGTATAAAATTATAAAAATGTCTCTAAAACTATGCACAAAACAAGACCATGATTTTGGTGCATCCAATTTTATTCCAATACCGTTCTCCTTCTTTATAATTCTTTTGAACTTCTTCCCAGAGAACAAAAGGCTTGGATATACAATAGAATTGATTTTAGACAAGGCACCTACATGAGAATTTGTCAACGGTCACAATAGGCGTACAACTTTTGGACAACCCACACCCCAGCCAAGGCGGGTTTTGAAAAATATTGTTTTCCACATAGTATGAACTAGCGTCATTTTGCAAAGCACTGTAGATCAGTACTCTACAACCTCAACTTTCATACAGCATATTGAACTAGCATCATTTTGCAAAGCACTGCAGATCAGTACTCTACAACCTCAACTTTTGCAGCTTATTTACCAGGACAAACGAAAAACAGTAATAACTGTCCATGACAAACTGATATTAAAGCGACTTTCTTGTCTTATACTAGATAATTATACATCATTGTTGCACCATTCCATGATAATCTGCTTTAACTAAGCACATTAAAAAGTCTGTTACAGAAAATCAGTAAAGAAAGCATGGATGACCAAAACATTTTTCAAAGATTCAAAATTTCAAGTTATATAATTCTGCCTAAATAAGATGATAGAGCAAAACAAATAAATGCATACTCTATTACATATAAAATAATCAATAAGGATAAATTTTTTAGCTTCTGTGTCTTCATGGACCAGAAATTTAAGCAATGTATGGTAATTTTAGAAACTTTAACTATTGTCAATGATGTGGCTTAAAACCTTTTCTCTACCAATTGGGAAAAATGGCTTCCTCCTCACTTCTGTTTCATTTATACCAAATAACAAAAATTAATTGAAACATCAAAGGAAGATGGAGCCAGTCATGTGCTATACACAGACCTGAATTTCGTCAACAACAGCACAAGCATAATCAGAATTCACATCAGCCATTTCTACAGTAACAGACTTATGTTTTGCACCATCAACTTCCTCCCTTTCTTGTCCGGTAATAAGATCACAAGGAACTTTAGCCTTATTCAAACGTTTTGCCACCTCCCATGCCAATAGTCTCAATGGCCCACAATAAATACCAGCAGCAAGTATTCATTGGTTTCTCAATTAAATATCAGGGTGTGCACCCAAAAGAAACAAACAGATTGTTGAGGATAATAATATGGAAATATTTTCATATGCAACATACCAGAACAACTTGACTCCAGCTGCTTCAATGCATGATATGTTTTACCACTATTTGTTGGACCAACATGTAAGATAATATTTCGTCTTTTTCTTCGAGCCTTTGGATACCAAGTGTGAGGGCGCCTAAAATTTAAAGCAAAATATGTACTGATTAAAGTAAGAACGGACTGTGAAAACCATTAACAATAAATTTAAAGAGCAAAAAACTTTATCTTAGTATCGTGAATCTTACGTAAGATCTGTAAAGTCAAATTTCATTGCTCTTGTGGAATCGCTGAGCTGCCTAAAGAATCGACACATGGCCAATGGAGTTCTAAACTTTGAGTCCCCAGAAACGCAACAAAACTCCAAATTAACTGAACAGCAGAAAGGGTGAAAGATGTATCATATATCAAACAACAGAATGGCTACAAAAGAAAGCTGTGCTCAGTGATACCTTTGTACTCTTAACAAAACACCCAAAAGAACAAAAAATTTACATTCAACACGCACTGACAACAAATATATATTGACATCTATGTGACGGATGTGACAGGGGCCTATGTACTTACAATTCCCTGACTAGCTACCAAAAACTTCACACCTACAAAAACAATTCCATCTTATGAAAATCATATGATCCACCTGCAACTTATTGCAAACAAAAATCATCATTCCTATAAAGGAATTGGGCTAGCCAAATCACATCTCTACTTGAGTTAGGCATACTAGCAAGCAGCGAGACAACCTATTGAAATCCCAGTAGAACTGGATAATTATAGAGTTAACCGTCGAATTAGATATTTAACTCTACCCCAATCTCATCCTATTAAAAGCATAAAGTAAAGAAAAAAATATGTATTCAGAGATGTTGAACGTGATGAGAAGTTGGTGGATTGTGGATACGGAATTCTTTAGGGGACCTGCATCAACAATACAAATATTGTTGTTGCCAGATTTCTCAAGGATACATGAAACACATTCCTAATCCCTAAGAAAATACATCATATAAATGAATGAGCATGACCTTTAAAGCCAGTTACGGAGCCAGATTACAGAAATCAAGGTCTCATACAGTTACACTTTATGTGCACAAAAATTCAAGAATTCAACAACACTGTCATGCCAAAAAATGCATAATGTCATGTAAGCATAGATTACCACTTCACCATTTCCATCAATCAATACAATCAATCATGCATCTGAGAGCACAAGCATCACATTCTACTGACGACAAAGCTTCATACTGTGCAACAGATATTCCATGCTGCTATCAAAATTTCCTCCTGATTTATGTTTAATCATACTTATTATCAGATATAAAATCAAATGCTAGCTGCTGTTATTCAACTGAAACTTACAATTTCTACAAAGGTCAACCACCACATCGTTATTAATTTTTATTCCTACATCATAATATGCCATAATAACCTGCATTTGATCGGTAAAATACTATTGATACCAAATGTGAAATTACTTATCATTGTCAATTTAGCTTCGAGTATTTAATCAACAAGACAAACATGATATGAGCCTCTTTGGTACATCTTTATATAAGAACTCGATAATAGAAAAATGGAATGTGAATGTCTATTTTTCTACTAAGCTAAAAGCCTAAAAGTTTCCACAACACAGAATACTTCATATGTCTAACAGTACATTCAACCTTAAAACATACAACTGTAATAGTATAGAATAAGATTCAGACAATTGGACAAAAGCACGCACAAAAACAAATCCAAATAATTGAAGCATCCTCAAAAAGACAGCGGAAAGAAACAATTTCAGGTTAATTAATAAGAAAAATAAAGCTAAGACCATGATAAAACCTGCACAGTCACTAGAATTTACCCCTTGGACCTATCAAAATTATGATTTCTATTTACAAATTCCTCAATTTCCACTAATTTTCAACAGAATCTTACATAGAATCATTCAAATTCCAGAAAACTGAGAGAGGTAAAAAATTGAAAAAGAAAACTTCGCACCTTCAAGCACCGTCGGAATAATGTATTCAGATATTTACTTTTTCCCAATTCCTTTTTATTATCAACCAAATTTTATTGCCGAGCATTTTAGTTAACAAGGGAAAAAGGAATAACGGAGTTTACCAAGACCACGCGGGGTGCTGAAGTGTGTTAGCTTTCGAAGAAAGATCAAAGACCCCATTTTTCCCCTCGTTTTTTGTTCTCAATTTCAGACAATTGAAGGTAAAATCAAGCGGAAATTGAAATCATACGAGAAAAGGGAACCAAAAATGATTAAGAAGAGAGAAGTGAATATCTAACTGTTTTTATTAATGGATTTTGTGGAGCTGAGTAATTTACGTATCTGTGTTCATGGCGCGTTTTCCGACCGCCGTTTCCGGTGTGCTCAAAACAAGTCTGGCATTTGCCTGTGTAATAGTCTTGGGTAAAAAGCACACCAGTCACTCAACTTTCAGTCAAATTTTATTTTAGTCATCCAACTTTTTTTCCCCCCAACTCATGTTACTCATCACTGATATTTCTAATCAATTATAGTGCATATTTGAGCAAAGCTTACTGATCAAACATAATTTTTAGTGAAATTCACAATTTACTTCACTTATATTCCAAACTTTTAGCACTTAGGCCCCGTTTGATTACACGAAATTTTCCATGGAACTTGGAATTCGAATTCCAACTTCCACTTTTGGCCTGTTTGATTGACAAAATTTTCCAGGGAATTGATTTTCCATGAATTTCTAGGTACAACACCTTAAAGCGTGATTTTCCAACTTTTTTTCCTAGGGGATAGGTGGTTTTTGGTTTTCCATCTTATTTTTATTTTTTATTTTTTGCTTTTTTTTTTTAATTGTTGGCAATGGGAACAAATTTTAGGAATAATTGTAAAAGAGGATATCCCTGAAATTGACAATTTCCACGTAAAACAAAGTCAAACGAACATCAAAAAATACTTTTACTTCAACATTTTCCACGTGAAAAATTTATACAATCAAACACAATAATTTACAATTTCCATGAAAACAATTTCTAGGTAATTCAATTCCCTGGAATTCATTTTCTTTCCATGTAATTTTCCTACTTGTAATCAAACGCACCCTTAGAGGCACTCTCAAACAAAGTGTTAGTACGATCATCAATAATAACTTTGTTATAAAAAATTATCTATTTTCATTAACTTTTATTTTATCTTTAGTACGATCATCGATAATAACTTGGAGATTATGGCTTTTCTCTACTAAAATCACTCCAAATTGATTATACAAACATTATAAGAATTTTTAGCTGTCTGATATTTGTGGAAATCCATAGTTTGATTTTTTTTTTTTTTAATCAAGGTTAGTTTCCTAATACGATTTACTTTAGATAAATTAATCCTAATGAAAATGTCAACTTTTATTTGAATGAAATTACTTGGAAACCCTTTTTCTTATGTTTATTTTCGATCACACATTTTTTAAAAAATAAATTATTTTACTCGTTTTTTCATAATTTTTCGCTACACGTTCTTTAGAAAATTAAAATGAAGTACTAAGCCCTTGTTTGGTCCCATTATATCTCAAATGCATTTTTCTCTCTTTCATTTTCAATTATACATTCTTAAATAAAATAATATTACAAGCAAATTGAAAAATTTTCATATATATTTTTTTACCACACTCTCTCCATTAAATCATTATTCCAAAAATACATTCTTGATTAAAAAAATAAAAATCTCAAGCATGTAAATTTTAAATCCAAATCAACGATATAGAAATTGCAAGTACATTACTTGCCATCTTAGCCAAATTTACAAATAGTGAACAATTAATTTCCACCGACTCAAATTATCAAAAACTGAACTGTGCTAGACGAGCATACATGGCCCTATCCAAGAAGATTTGTTCATCGGGACTTGTTATAATCTTCAATGAACTTAGTTGATGCTCAATCTCGTCTTTTTCTTGTCAAATCCATGTTTTTACTTTAATATTTTTTTAAAAAAAGACATGGATAATATAAACTTTTATATATTGTATAAAATTATAAAATTAGTAGTTAAAACTAAGAGAACAAAATTAATTTATAATCTCAAAAATGCGTACACATGAAAAATATAATTAGGAATAGACTTTCATATTTATTTTGTTCAAAAAAATCTTCACGTTTTGAAAACTTTTACATCTTTTGCAACTCGACTCATGAGTTCAACTAATGACCTGGCCAACTATTGCTTATTGAATTGGTACTGAGATTGAATATGATAACTATAATAAATAGTGCTCTTATTTAAATATTTAATTTTTAAGAAAAGGAATTAATACAGGACTATATTTAATTATTAATGATTACCTTATAATCTTTGTCCTCTGCCAAACTATTTTTTATTTTTAATTTTTTAAATCCCAATTAACTATGCAGTGTACGTCTGTATGAAATACATGATGTTTTTTATATTTGAACTTAAAATTCAATATTTAAAAATGTGGTACAAAATATCCTTTATTGATCAAATTTAAAGTTTAAACTGCCTTTTCTTTTGGTAATTACTCAAAACCATTGATGATTATCATTTTTTAAACATTGATTCAGTGCTCTTGACAAGCTTTCTTTCTTGAACAGAAGTCAAAGACCCATGCATTCTCATTCTTCATTTTAAGGATGTCCCATTGATACCGTCGACAAATCCAAGCAACTTGAACAACTCTCCGTTTGGAGAACCAATAGAAAGGACAAGTTAGCTTGATGACTTCTTGATCAAGAAAAAAGAAAGTCTCGACAACGAGAATCACGTACAATTCATTTGGGAAAGGTGTGACAAGTCAATCCAAGTGGTCGTCATAACATGTCCCATATTCATTAATTCATCATTCGTAGTTGCTTAATTACAAGAGATATACTTTATTCCAACATCAAATATTTTGCAAAAATTGCAATACTTTAAACAAGAGCACCACCTTTGACATACTCAGTAACTGCCAATGCAATCAAACCCAACATGGCAAACCTTCCATTCCACAACTCAGCATCAGACGAAAACACCCCATTCGATTTCGATTCTGCCCTAACCCCTTTGAACAGAGGAATCAAAGAAGCAGCACTTAGCAAAGCAGAAGTCACTATGAACCATTGAATTCCTCCATTTTGTATCTGTGCAAACACGTCCTGACCATTAGCAAGCTCGACACCAATGGCAGTGACGAACCCGATCATCGCGAGCCGACCGTTGATCCTCTCCGGTCCTGGCCCACCGAAGGCTAGTATGTCACCAAAGTTGGTACTAACCTGTCAATGTTAAAGAATAACTCAGAAGCCTGATAGACTAATGTTTGAGACTATAAGTAGTAAGTTAATCCCTAACCTTTGGTGGAGTTGCTGACTCCGGCTGCTCTTTCTGTTAAATTCAAAGTGAAAAAAATAATTACGTCAATAATTGTATATCAAATGTGTACTTGAAATTTATGCTTGAAACAAGAATTAGTTACCTTGGACATGCTGCTGACTCGAAAATCCACATTCCTCTTGAGACTTGGAACATAGGAGGGTACAGCAAACCGTTTCAGGGCAGTTTTGTTTGTAAGTCCCGTGGCTGGGCTTAGTGACATAACGCTTGATACGGCAGCCATGGTGTACGTTCGAGGGGCACGAGAAAATTCCGAAGTATACAAAAGTCAGTATCTAAGTAAAGGGAGAGTCGGAGTATTGATACTAAAGATTTCTTAGTATTTGACTTGAGAAGGAGATGTGGAGTGGAGGTTGGTTTTATAGTGCATGATAGCATGGGTATGTTTCATCTGCAGTCATTGATTTTTTAGCAAAAAATTTATTGCGTCACTAAACTTTGATTTGTTTCAATAGAGTTACTAAACGTCAATTTAGATTTAAGTTGAGTATTAAACTTAAATTTAATTTCAAGTGTGGCCTCTTTCAAACTGATGAAAATTGCTTAATTTGAAGTATTGGATCTTTTATGCAATTGCTGTGCGTCCGTGTATTAAATTTACCATGAGAGGAGACAAAAAGTGATGGATATTTCTACATCCACGTAATTTGATATGGCCCGTTAAAGATACAATGTCACGTGGGTTTGTAATGCCACACATATTTGACTTGGCCATAATATTGACAACAATTTCAAGTGAAAAAGTTGTGGCCTAGATGGTTCCATGTATGGTTAGGTGGACAATTTTAACATTATGCGGGTATAATATGACATTTTGTGGTCTTATCTTCTTGTATTTGCAATTTTGTTTTTTCAAAAGTCGTGACGAATATATGGAGAAGGATAATTCTGTTTGAACGGCCCATGCAAGTAACGTGGTCCTGTAGAGAATGGGAGCTTGTTTAGGAGTGATCTTTCATCCAAAAAAATTGATTTTTTGACCGTTATTTTACTATTTCAACTGTAAAATTTGACTTTTTCTCTTACATGTAGTTCCTACTTTTCTCCTAACTGTCACAAAATCACTCCCAAACGGGGCATGGGTATAATTTTTTGAGGAGTACGGATAGCCTCGCGTGTCATCTCTTTAATTGTGTCAAATGTGACGTATGTTCTCTCATATATCTCGCTCTTGAAATTGTGACTTATGATAATTGCAGTGTCTCCAAAATATATCCGTCACATATATGTGACCAATGGTGAATTAGGATTTCAAGAAATGAATATGGTTGAAATGTGAAACACAAGGATCTTGCTCTATCATTTGAAATGAAGAAGGTGAATTTGAGTGAAGTTATTCACAATAAGAATGAATTTTCTCTCATCAAATTTGAGTAAATATAATAAAATTATAAAATCCGAATTTCAAAAAATAACCTTATGATAATAATTCTTGAATTATGGATTCGTGAAAATGAAAAATGAAAATAAATAAACATCGAAATTATTGTCCCTACTACAACTTTATAGCTTCTCCATTATATATCTATAGTATATAATATATTAAATATCACATCAAGTGGGAATATTTTTTAAAATAATTTTAACCCCATTAAATCAATTATTTCAATAATAACTTACTACTCGCTTTTCAATATGTAATAAATACCATAAAATCATTGTCATGTATGAACCTCGCATTATTAATTCTCAATTAATTATTATTCACATTAATCTAGACCTAATGAATCTTAACTCGATGAATTTTCTACATGATAGATGAATTTATTTCATTCATGTACTTAAAAAATATAAGGAAAGCTACTATATTTAATATGTTGCCATTAATGAATATTTGTAATTGATAGCCACAATACTTAATAGTGATTTTGGTTATATGAGATGAGAGACATCTCACATTGAGCGGTATCAATTTTTATTGAGTATCATTGAGTATAGTTGACAACCTCCCTTGAGTCTCAAGTGTAATGAAACTAAGCGGATTGATGTTTTTCCGGTATTTATTTGAGAATTTTTT